TGTTCGCCTAGCGCAACATAAATCCTCAATCTTTTCGTTAGGTAATCGTATGACTCTGCTGTACGATCTAAACCCTAACTCGTTTCAGGATTCTGAGGTTGTCGTTCGTTACGACATAAATCCTCACATCTTCCAGCTATTTGTGTGAGTGTTTCACACAAGCGTTTCACACGAATGTAAGACGAATGTAAGCCCTAATTAAATAAAACTGGCAGGATAAAACATTTGAATATTCCTCTTCGAAACTGAAGCCAAACAATAAGGTAGACTGGGAATCCCTCGAGGATCTCCTCTGGATCTATGACATCCCCTAGTTCTTGTTCCTTTAGATCCTGTAATAAATTTTTCAAGTTTGAATCATTCTCTTTTGCACACCTCTTTGTCTATTTTCGTTGAAGAGTCCTACCCTTTAAAATTCTTTGAAGATAATAGTTCTTGAACATAATTTTTCCTGATTTTTATCGAGAGTATTCATAAGTGATTTCAGTCATTTAAGATGTAATTAACTATAGGGGCTTGCCCTTGTAGGATATTTAATTTTTCATATTACATAGGAGAATTTTTCGGCAAATAAAACGGTTTCGCAGACCAAACAGACGTCATATATATCTTAGTTTATCTGATCGGGCCTCATCCTCAAGTCTTGTGTTTATCCCTCGGATATAGATACAGGATTTGAGGTAAAGCGCACTTTCATTTAAACTATGAAAAATATGGGGTCAGTTTGATGTTCATACTTAAATCTATACGTCCTTCCAAGGCGGGCGACGAGATTTCAATTTCGGTGATCGACAGCTTCTGACGGGCAACTCCCCCAAACAAACAAACAAACCAACCCCACCACACTTTTCCCTGCCGACATGGGGTTAGACCCATCCTTATTTACTTGAACCTTAGATTTCAAATTAGGATGACGTTTGTGGCATTTAGCAAGAATATGACCAAACATCTTCTAGTGGGCTAGTGGGTACAATATGGGGGATATGGGGGTTTGTGTTCCATGACGATTTGTTACCAATATCCATTATGGGTTATGCCCGGCCAAACTTCAGTAATATCAGGTAAAGTGATATCTCTTTCCATAAGTATTATGGCCACCGAGGGTCTGGGTAGGTTGAAAGTAGGCAGATCTCGTTTTCTAGTTTTAGAGGATCTCCAAAAATGACCTCAATAGAGTAGAGAACCTGATGGTGAAAAAAATGCAGCTTGAGACCAGGTAAACTAAACCATATCGGTACAGTGGGAGTTTCATGATTTAGGTCAGAATTAGGAGACCACTTGAGTAACTTCATTGATTTGCCTTCGATATTAAGATATTTCTAGGAGAAAATTCTGGTGTAGTATTCAACCACTGTTAGTTGGATCAATACATTTCTCCTATCCATGAGTCCCACTTTTCACATGTCTACTAGTTTAAGATCATCAACATTCTTTCTGATAACATCCATAGGAGGGTGTCTCAACTGAAATTTTCCAATAAGAGCAAACTTGAATTTTTTAATTAGAGTAGAAATTTCTGATTCAGAGAAAAAGATTGCTTCTTTTCCACCTTTCCTACTCCCCTTCTTAATAAAAGAGAAGGACAATCATCAACACGAGATTTTTTATAACTTGAGGGGAATCCCACTGTGGGCTCCACTTGAGGATTACCCACTATGTGGGCAAAGGAAACTTTGTCCGGCTCCACCATAGAGGAAGGAAAGACCATCAGAAATCAAAGGCTTTCGTTAAACTACTGCCAAGTGCAGAGGAGCTCTCGAGCGGGAGCAGAAGCAGCAGCGCCGAAGCCGAAACAGGCGCAGAAGCAGAGCAACGCTGAAACAGAAAAAAAATGGGCGCAGACGACGAAGTGCGAGGAGCGATATTGAGCAGGTGTAGCGATATCGAGGGACGACGACACGCGTAGTGGGCAGCGACGTCGACGCTGACGAAGACGCAGACGAATGAAGCGAGAGTTGACGGCAAGGGCTCGGATTGGCTCAATATTCAAGTCATATATATATTTATTCACGCGATAATGCTAAACCAATTCAAAAAGTAAACTTAACAATTTTCTTACATACTCAATAGCTGTAAGTGGCTCAATAACAAAAAGAGAAAAAGAACAAGCACAGAATATGCGATAGAAGCAAAGCATTTCTCCAAATAAATAAAACTTTTTCACGTGTCATTTATATATTACGAGAATAACGCAGCTACATTATCTGTAAATCTCACAATTGCAATAAAATGTAAAAATGCTACTAACGGCACCAGAAACCTAAATGTAACTCCAACATCATCTACAAAATTCCATCCAAAGATGAGATTACTCTCAATGCATGCTACAAGCCTGCAGCTACAATATTTTGGGGTAGAAACACGATAATCTCACAATTTGAACATTTTTTTATCTCTTTTCTTTTAATTCAAAGGTGTCAAATAACATATTCAATCTTTGGGGGAATATTAGAACTTAATTTTACATCAAGGTTTCTTTACTCATCTTTTCACGTAAAAAAAGTGCACATAGAATTTTTTTAATATGCTTAAATTTTTTTTTATATTAATTTTAATTTGTATCTCAATTTTTCTAAATAATGTAAGACCTGCAATGCTCTATGGTGCTGAATGTTGGCCTTTAAAGAGAACCATGATAATAAGTTAAGTGTAGCCGAGATGAGAACGATTAGGTGGATGAGTGGCTTTACACTAAGAGACAAAATGCAAAATGAATATATCTGTGATAGGGTTGGTGTAGCTCCTGTGACGGACAAAATTAGAGAAAGTTGTCTTAGATGGTTTGGTCATATTAAACGTCGACCATCTGATGATCCGATTAGGAGAGTAGATGTTTTAGATTCGAATTGTGTTAAGTAAGGCAGAGGTAGACCTAGGAATACTTGGGCTTATTGTATAAAAAATGATCTTAGCTTACTAGAACTAATTGAAAATATGACATTAAATAGGACGCAGTGGAGAAAAGGATTCATGTAGGGATTCATGTAGCCGACCCTATAGCCGACCCTACGTAGTGTGATTAAGGCTTTGTTGTTGTTGTATTTATTCATTATATGCCATGATTTACATTAGAGTTGTTAAAGTGTTTATGACTATACTCTTATTCCTATTTAACAACACTTTTAAGATTGTTTGTGATTAAAACTTCTAATTTTACAAATTATAATTACATTTTTAAAATATGTATTACTATAATGTTAACAAAAAGTGTTATTATAAGATCAAAAGTAGCACTAAAATGTTGCGCTTTATCAGACTTCAAGTTATTATATAAATCAAGTGGCACTCACTTTTTATATGTGTGAATGTAATGACCGAAAACCAACAAATATCAATTAAATTGAGTAAATGAATGACAGAGAAAAAATGGAAATATAATTGTGAATTTTTTGTGAAAGACAGACGATTGGCTTGCCCAATAGGCGGCAAATGCTTGTGAATGACAACGAAGCAGGCGGACGGGCGGCGAAGTAGGTGGATGGGCTATGAAGCAAACAAATTGGATATCCTCAATCAAGCGAACAAGGGTACTGCTGGGCGAGGGTGTTGGGATGGGTCATGGGATAAGATTTTGTTAATGTTAATACTTATGTTTTTAAAAAATAAATTTGAAAAATTGTGGCCATCCTATCAAATTAGATTTGACTATGGAAGTGCCAGCCGATTCTTTCAAATCAGAACCGGTTCATTAGTTCTCCATTAGAACCACTAGGTTTTTTGGGCGATTCAATGCAGAAAGGGTTTTTTTCAAGGACAGGGCCAGAAGGTCTGGTTTGGTTTTCAAAACCTTCATTTAACTTAATCAAAATTTCTGGTTTTTAATCTCTTGTTTCAGCTTATTATAAATATTTCCTTCACTCTTTCTATAGTTCAAATTCTGTTATATAAATGAATAAAATATGTAGCTTTTATTTTGCTCACTATTCTCTTTGTTAGACTTCAAGCCTTTATATAATCATCGTAACTCTTGGTAGTATTCAATTTCTGCTACCCCTAAAAATATTTTTCTTTTCTTCAATAATCTTTATGCATCCTTTTTGTATCATCAAGTTTCCTTCTAAGTTTTAGATTAGTTCTAGACCTCTTGAAATAATTACCGTGATATTCTTGATGAAACAAGTCATCTTATCTCACATCAAATTTTGCTGAACAAAAGGATTTCAATTTGCTTCTTTAGCAGCCTATCATGAAACCTAACATTTTTTTATCTTTTAAATTCTACCGCCTTATTCTATTACCATTATTATTTTGTTTTGTTTTTTTATACGTTTATACATCCATTTCGTCTTGTAGCAGCATCACATTATTTGTGGCAAAGCCATACATTCTCATAGCATATCACGAGCTACACACATATCAAGGTGTTTATTAATCATATATCATGTAACTCAGTATAATTATACAGAAATAGTTTCATGTAGAATTATGCTTAGCGCATGTTGTAGAGTTTCACTTGCATGTAACACAATATTAAACAATTTGTATGTATCATCTTACCATTCAAATCACATCATGCAAAGGGAGTAAAACTTTTGCTTCATACATTAAATCAAAAGATTATCCATTTAAGCAAATTTTCTTCTGTGGTCTTTTCCTGGTGTTCAGAGCATTCACACAAGCTTCATCAGCCTCAAACAAGAGAAATCCTCCTCTTTTAGGTGTCACTAATCCAAGCCACCATTGACCCTAAGATTGTTCTACCATGCATAGTCTTTCAAGACCACATGGCGTCAAAGTAAAATTCACCGCATGCACTAATAACTCCTATTGATGCGTTTGTATTGCTTTATTTATTAATTGTTGCGGTACAATATGATTGTTTTGAATATCATCTTCTACTAAAGGGGGCATTATTATTTTTTTTCATAAAATTGTTCTGCGACATGTATGTCTATTTCGCAGGCTGATGGGTTCCTCGTGAAGATTCTAGGAAATTATTTACAAATGAACCTCTATTGTCGTTCCTGGGAACTAATATTGTTTTATTTTTCTTATGCTAGAGTGTTGCTGGTGCTGCACAACAAACAACAAAAGTAATTGAAGGAGCAAAACCAGTTGCTTCTTCAACATTTGAAGCAATTACATCTACAGATCCTTCAGTTATTGTTATCTCAGCTGGAACACTATTTTTGGCATTCCTTCTTTTTCCATTTATATGGCCAATTGTTTCTTTCAACTTGCGTGGTTACAAAGGTAAGCCACTCTACCTACTGGAAGATCGATCTCATGTTTCTGTAAATTAGGCATACTTTCTAAATGAGATTGCAGCATAATTCATGTTTTACTAGGTAATCTCAGCCCTGCACAGACTCTAGATGTGCTATCATCACAAAATTATATAATGATTGACATAAGATCAGAGAAAGACAAAAACAATGCAGGAATTCCTCGTCTCCCTTCCAGTGCTAAGAACAAGTTGATCTCGATTCCGTAATGATTTTTCCATCAACCTTCTCCATTTTCTCCTGTTAATGTGTGGAAAATTCTTAGAAGACTGATTTTTGTTTTCAGGTTAGAGGAACTCCCAAGCAAGCTTAGAGGCCTCGTTCGGAATGTAAAGAAGGTTGAAGCAGAGCTTGTAGCTCTAAAGATATCTTATCTAAAGAGAATCAACAAAGGCTCAAACATTGTGATAATGGACTCGTATGTGCTTTCTCCTTGTGCTCCGAGTGATTGATTCTCTCATATATATTGAAATGGATTCAGATATTCCAAAACACAACAAACAGGTATTCTGATGCTGCAGTGATTGTGGCAAAAACACTCACTAGCCTTGGCTTCAAGAACTGTTGGGTCATGGCAGATGGCTTCTTAGGAGGTAGAGGGTGGTTGCAGAGCCGGCTGAGCGCTGACTCGTATAATGTATCTCTCACAGAAGTTCTTTCTCCTTCACGAATCATACCAGCTCGTTTGGGAATGACAAGCACAACCTCAAGAAAGCTTCTTCCAGGAACTGCTGACAACTGAGGAACTATCCATTTGCTTCACATGCGTGTGTATGTAGATTACTCAACTTTAGTTTAGTTCCATTTGTTACTGTGTCCTGTGTGCATATGTTCATGTTTATCATTGCATTTTAGCAATTATCTGAGTATTTCAAATAACAATTGCAGTGAAGGATATCATCTAATAAACCATATTTGACTCCATAAATGAATGCGAAGTTATGGATAAAGCTCTCTTCATTGAGGGATTATGGAGTTTGATTCTGACTTTTTTGATTCATTTCAATTTGTGATTCATTAAACTATTTCTATGATTCACCTTGACCTTGAGTTGGCTGGATGTTTGTGCACTATGGAGGGTTGGGTAGATGTCACTGCAGTCTCTTCTCCGGAGAAAATTACAGAAGTCAATTTTCTTGGTGGGAAAGGCCTACCACCAAGGATGACACCTGAAGAAAAGGAAAAAAAGGTCATTGGTTTTAATGAATAACCAATGCTCATAAAAAATGCTCCTACATTGGATATGTCTGCAGGCAATCAACAAAAGATCAATTTTAACTGACACGGGGCTGGAAGGGTACCCCGAACCAGTTGGTCTAAGTGGGTGAGGGCCGACCGACCCTCTTTCTAGGGCTAGGTTGTCACACATTCCTAAAAGCAACAAGGGTGTTTTCGTTTGTTTTTTTTATTAAGTTTAGGTCCTTTATTGATTATAATATGCAGGCATTTTTGTATTATGGGTCTTTTGTTTATTTGAGTTTTGTGAGGGTCTGTGGGTCTGTATTCATAGTGTTGGGTGGTGGCGACTGCATTCTTCCCTTAGTGGTGGTGACATCACGGGTCTTCTTCTTTTTTCAATCCTTCGAGTGGTGATTTTTGTATTCCGATCGGTTGCGAGAGTAGAAAGCTCTTGTATCTTTTATTTGATTAGTTATTCTCGTCTTTGTTCTGGTTATTTTTGTTTGTGTGTCAGATTGCTTTCTTGGTTGTTCATGCTGAATCTTCTCCAACCTTGGCTATCCTTGATGAATCTTCCCCAATCCCCTTCTCTGATATCATTTGATACCATAGCTAGTCTAACCCTAATTTCATTCTACAGTTACCAAATCCCTCCCAAATCTAAAGCTACTAAACCAATGTTAGATCTTGATCTATGATGTTCAAAGTCAACAACCGTGAATAATTTTTTTGTACCTTAAACCAGCCCCATATACCATCTTTCACCTCCCAAATCTAAACCCACCAAGCCATAACCAAATCTTGCCTAACCCTAATTCCCCCTTGCTGCTTTTCAAAATCAACAAACTTAAATAGTTTATTTTACCCCTAAATCAGTTGCATACACCCTCTTTCACCTCCTAAATCTAATCTTAGCCATGGCAGCAAGGATACAAGTGCTGAAAGTCGAAAATCCTCCAATACCTGGAGGTTACAACAGCTCTGCCACCTTCAACATGGCAACCTGACGTCACATCATGAGGAGTCAGAAGCTTCGGCAGATGTGGTCGATGCTCCACCAATCTCAATAGATTGATGTGGGGCGGGGAGGGGACTCTGGACCGGTTCGGTATAAGTTGGGGAGGTTCGATATCATTAACATTTAGCTAATCAGAGAGAACTATTAGCCAATCATAGCATGTATGTGCTTTTCTTATCTAAAGAGATAAGAGAGTCATTAATTAAGTCTTTGCTTGATCCAAAGATCCGCTTAATTAAGTAGGCAGTAATTTCTTAAGAAGAAGTCAACTATTTTAAGGATATTCTTAGAATCACATTTTCTTGTGAGGATTTATTCCTTGTGCTAGCTGATCATAATTGCTCTTTATACATTTCTATAAATATAGAAAATTTCAATCAGTCCAAAATTTTGGTTGATTTAGGTGCATCGATCAACATAATGGTCTTAAGAAACCTCACCTAAATGTAAATACATATAAACCTAGCTTAGATAAGATGATGCTATGCAATTTTAATGTAAAAAGGGAAAAGGGGCAGCAGTCTCTTGCTTTGAGATCCCTGTGCTTATATTACAGCTGATCATATTCTCTCCTTTAATCAGTCATGTTACTGCCCTTAACCGGATGATTAATTATAGATGAGACTCTTTCAATTGAGTTTGAGTGGAGTCATGGAAATGCCTATGCCTTCTTGAAGTTACCTAGATCATGACCTGTCTTAGGAAAAAAAATATTACATCAGTACTACGCACGTAAAGTACATGCCTTCTTGAAGTTACCTAGATCATGACCTGTGTTAGGAAAAAAAATATTAGATCAGTACTACGCACGTAAAGTAACGTGCGTAGTCAATGAAATCACGCCATGATACCTCGCGCGACAGAGGAAAAAAAACGGCGTAGTAACACGGGGAATATTCCGTCCTGATATTCATGTGTTATTGTGTGTTATTCACGTGTTATTGTGTGTTATTCATGTGTTATTGTGTTATTCATGTGTTATTCATGTGTTATTGTGTTATTATAACACCAGGAATATTCTCAGGACACAATAACACATGAATAACACACAATAACACATGAATAATACAGGGGAGAATATTCCCCCATGTTACTGCATTGTTTTATCTCTGTCGGGAATATTTCTCGTGTTATTCAGGTGTTATTGTGTGCTATTCATGTGTTATTGTGTCATGAGAATATTCTTGGTGTTATAATAACACAATAACACATCAATAACACATGAATAACATGCAATAACACATGAATCACGCAAGAACACATGAATAACACAAGAGAATATTCCCCGTGTTACTGCGACGTTTTTTTTCCTTATCGCGAGGGATGTCGTGTGATTTTATTGGCTACGCACATTACTTCTACGTGCGTAGTACTGATGTAATATTTTTTTCTGTCTTAGGGGCTATTAATTGTTATTTGTTTTATTATTTTTTGTCATTATTATTTTTTTAATATTCTAATTTAAAATAAAACATGTTTGATATATTAGAAATATATTTTATTTTAATTAAATATTGAATAAATAAATTTATGCAATGGTGGGTGGCGGCCGTTGGCAAAATAATGCGTGCGTGGTGGTTGATACGAATGATAACAACAATGACAATGGTGGCTAGCGGCTTGTGGTATCCCAACGTGTTAGACAGCAATGCTACGGTGACGAGGCGGTAGTCATTGATGGCAGCGGCTTGCGGAGTTGGGCTAATTTTGACGGCCGACAGTGGAGGTAGGATGCGGCTAGCAGCAATGGTAATTTTTAAAATCACTTGAACATCCAAAAATTATTTTGTGTTTTCAAGATTGAGCTGGTTCTTTTTTAAAAATAAAAATTAAAATGAAAATTTACATACATACCACATAATTCCTTTTTATTTACATATCTAATGCCTGAAGCTTATTATTTGCATTTATAACTTTATTTTGTAAAACTTATGCATGAAAAAGTATATTTTTCTTCCAAAAAATCAGTAATGGTGGTATTTTTGATGTGAAATTAAAAACATGTGTTATGCATGTAAATATGAAATTTTAGGTTTTAGATATGTAAACGCAATTTCGAGCCGAACACGAACACGAATATTTAAATCGAGCAGAACACGAACACACTGTTCACGAGCCGATTCATGACTATCACAAAATATCACAATTATATACTAGCATGATCTCACAAGTTAGAGGAGAAAAAGCTAAGGTGGATGAGCAATGATAGTGTTTTGATATATTTTTGAAATAAATTTAAATTTAAATATACTGATAACATGCTATAATGTTGTTCATGAGGTTACTGATTTTTTCAAGAAAAATTTAGTAGAGGTTTTTATGGTGTTGGTATGTCATACAACTCCTATTGCTAAGCCTTTTTATATAATGACCCCAATGTATTTATTTGGAGACTCCATTGTGTGAGCTAGTTGACCAAGATTTTATTAAACCTTGTAAGCATATATGGAGCTCTTATTTTTTATTTTTTTAATGGGGATGGTTATGATGTGTATGTAATTCTTTAGCATTCTTACTTGCATTTGATTTTGTGTTGGGTTCCATTTAATCATCTAGACTTATTATTCACCCATTCACATATGTATTTGGTTTTAAGTGAAGGGAAAGGAATTTGTGCATTAGAGGCTTTGCTCTTCAAGTTACAAGGTGATTGATGTTTTAAAAGATTAAAAATAATCTCTTGTAATTATTATTATTAGTGCATAAGGAGGCAATGATAGAAGAAATAAATTTATTAAGAGAGCTTAAAGTTAGATGATTGTTCTAGACTTTGACAACTAATTTTTAATTACATTTTCTTGATGTATTGTATCAGACCTATGTATCTGTAATGTTGATTTTAGAGCATTTTTTTTGTGTAATTTTGTATTAAAAAGGGGAATTATTAATGAAATTTATTTAATAAAAATAATATTATGGCTTCAAATCAATGTTTCAATATAAAAAATCAACTCTGATGCGCTATTTTAATCTTTTGATCATTCCAATCAAGCGAATTACATGTTTGATGAATCTTTATGATATATATATATATATATATAGAAAGCCCAAAGGTTAATATATTAATTAGAAAGAAGGATACAAATAGATTGTCTGGGAGGGCCCAAACATGACACCCTGCCTACATGATAATCACAAATGTTTCCAAAACGAGAAAATATAAAAAAAATACATGAGAGACAAAGAAAAAATAAAAAAAAGTGCCAAAATACATAGTATCAGGTAGCTAGAGAGCGACCCAATTTTGCCTTGCCTCTGCCTCTAGTTCTAGGGAATGAGTCAGCTAATAAATTGGTATGATGAGTGTCATTGTCAGTAGTAACAAATGTATCATCCAACAGGTTCCCGAGGTCGAGTCAGCCTCCATTTTTCTTCTTCCTCCTAAAATAGATCTGTCATTCCTCATCCGAAGATTGACTCACCTGATAAGTGGATTGGTCTAAAGTGTGTCGAACATGTGTAGGTTGTTGAACATTAGAAACAACTACTTATTGTACCAGCTGATCTTTTATTGGATCAAAGGAGCACTCTTGTGTGTCTTGGCATGTAAGTTAGTCTTCTTCAATAGCAGTGGGTGGTAAAAACACAATTGGATCTGTACTTGTAGTATGGTGTTCCTCATCAGGAACTGCGGTGTTGGGAAGAGGATCGGGTTGCATCTTCCAACAGGGATGGTAGGTGACTGATCTTTAGCGATATCCGACCTTATATGAGGATGCAAACAATAACAAATAGTAGAATTGTGGCCAAACATACTATAATGA